TGTGATTTTCGTAACGTGTGTTTCTTTCTGCCAATCAACTTCCTCTGTAAAAGGATCACAATCAAAGCCACGTGTTTTCCTATTTTTTTAAAGTTAATTTGAAGGCGTTGTGGCAAATGAGACGGAACTTGACATAGGCAGCAGTCAATTTTTTTTTCTAGATATGTCAATATTTTAATACTTAAATTACTTTTCGAATAAAGTTGGATTCACGAGAACACAATCTATCATTTTTTCGTTTCTGCGACAATAGAACTCTATAAGCGACTATAAGTGTTTCACGTGTTTGCTGTGTCGATAAATGAACTTTTAACAGCCACAACTTGCCAACGGAATACAGAAGTCCAACAGACATAATTGCAACAATAATTTGATTCTACTCATTGCAACAGCATTGCGACAGGCCAGATCGAAATCTGGAATGAGAAGGGTCATTCTTGGCTTTAAAATATGTCACTCCACTGTATAAAACACCTGTAAATGTTCATATATTCTTAATACAGATCCATATTATCAGTGATTTTTACAACAGTTTCTGTGTTGAAATTATTGTTTAAATTACAAGTTGTGTATTGAAAAAATCTTATTTACTTGTTAAATCTAATCAACACTGCAGAATACCATGTTCTGTAAAGTGGCTGTCGGTAGCAAGGCCCATAAATGCACAGACAATATAGGGGAGAGATAGACCATCAGCTGCAACTATCTGGTTTGGGGTACTCGGTATACGTCCCTAAAACGTTATTACATTGTAAATAATGCCTATTAATCGCAAGAGGGCTTGTATAAATGATTAAGGAGTACAAAGTTGTCATAACTCGAGACAATGACTCGACTCGAGTCCGACTCGAGTCACAATTCTTGGTGACTCGACTCGACTCGAGTCCCTAAGGACAAATGACTCCACTCGACTCGAGTCACTACGAGCAAATGACTCGACTCGATTCGACTCGAGTCCCTAATCAGAATGACTCGACTCGACTCGAGGAGGGCTAATAAGACTTGAGTCCCAAAAATAAAAGCAATGACTTACGCCGGTGCCGGATTGTGCTCTCCTCACGTTAAAATGTTTGCCAATAATGTATACATATGCATACGCGGTTTGATCAGTGTCGCCATTAGTTGAATAGCGATCAGCTGGCACCCCTTTTTATTTTCATTAATAAGTCACATGTGCTGTCACCACATGTTGTAGCCCAAATGTAAAATTTTAAAAAGCCAAAAAAATGACTTTTTCTCTTCAGATTTCTTCAAATATTTGTGACTTAAATTGACTCGAGCTTAATACTTGACTCGACTCGACACGACTCGACCTTCTTGAACTAATGACTCGACTCGACCAGAGTCACTTCTTTAAAATGACTCGACTCGACTCGAGTTACAAAAATCAGTGACTCGATAAAACTCTGCAGTATCATTTCACGTACCTACGACATTGAAGATTAACTTTCTTATGAGCAGAATCTGGCTCATATCGTTGACGAGGCAAATCACTGAGTTTAGTCCATCATTAGAATCGAAACAATACACGTGCTCAGCACAAGCAAATCTGTTCCTGTCGTTGTTGAAGGCAGTAATAGCTGCTTGTGGGATTGAGGAATTCAACTGATTGGCATCAACACTCATTTGGATGCAAGTGGATTCGGAGACAACAGGACACCCTGAAATGAAAACGCCGAATATGCATTGTAAATTCAGGCCAGTAAGTCTCAAATGAGTTAAGTTGTTTGATTGTCATTTTAGAAAAATACGTGGTATTTTTTAACTGAGGATGACACACACTGTCCGTTCAGACAGTAGCTACCGCTATCAGTTTGAATTAACGGCGTAGCCAGGGTTCGCACCAAAGTGGTGAGGGAGGGGCACTAAATGCTACAGTGGGAGGGGGCGTCCCATTTGTGTAAAACCCATGAACTATTTTAATTATAGGCCTAACACATTTCCAGAATAACCAATTTCTATGTCAAAAATATCATAGTTGTTTGTTTATTTCAGCTGTTGAGTCTTCTAACATTCCTGCAGCCAGAGCTCAACCGCAAGTGTGATGTCATGGTGAATTTTGGAAACCGACTCTCGCTTACCGTCAGCAGACGGGTATGCTTGCTCACCATCTAGACAAACGGGACCAAAAGGTTCACTTGAAATGAGAAAAAAAATGATAGGAGTATCGTTAACATTGGTTATTGATAACCTTCCAAATCAAAACAATGTCGTTTGCTTGCTAGAAACGCTGCTTAGGCTCAAACTATATACAACATGCTGCTAAATTGAGGCTTGGATGTTTAATCGTTTTCAATTTTTTCTCAATCGGTTACGTTTTGGCAATGCCAATGTAACAGGTTTAACCCTAAAGATAAGGACATATCTTACAATTCAGTTAAAACATCTGTTGAACTGTTTGTCGTCACATACATGTACATATTTTCTGGTTCATCAAATCTGATACTTTAATTTCATTTGACTACAAATACTCGTGATACGCTTTCAATTTATCCCTATTGGATATGTAATAAGGTGCTTAGGGCTGGGAGGGTTCATGGTTCTTTCGAAATACTCTGTAGTGAGGTAGTTACCGAATATATGTTGTGGGGTTGAACGGAGAGTGTGTGGCCAGACATTCCTCGAGCGTGCAGCTTGTGTTAAGGGGCAAAGTGATGACATTCTCTTCCGTTGTCACCACGAGGTGTTTGCTGGAATCCTTTGTCAGAAGCTCTAGCCCTGTGATGGGATCACTTGTACCCTTAGAAAATAATCAATACGAAGACTGAAAAGACTCATCTGAACGGGTAATCAAATGGCCCTCATAAATTAGCCATGAATTGAATAAAATCTCAAGTCAGGTGCTAAGTATTCAAGTGACACGAATAATTCCTTTCTTAACCATAAACGGGCTGAGGTTGATTCCGAATCCTCTACATTTTAGCAATATTCTAACTAAACGCGTGATTCTTGCCGTAATCCTTGGTGACTTAGTAGCTCACGCATGGGCACGTTTTAAACCAAATTATACTGTACACACAGTACAGTATAGCTTGCTGTGGAAGCGATGCTTAAGCTAACTGATAGCAATTATTCATATATATTTACTTGTCTAATTAAACTCAAAATATGTGAAGATTTAATAGTTCTAAATGTGTTAAAAATTTAATTCAATTTCGTCTCTTCACGTCCGAGTTTTACGGCTAGAAAAGAAATCAATTTTAAAAAAACCAGCCCTCTAGGGGTAAACCACAGACGTTTCATTTTTCATTTACATAACATTATTGCTGGGTCATTTCACCTCCTGCTGTTAGTTTTTCCTTAACTGAACGAAATCTTAGGATTCCCGAAATAACGAGAAATTGAGTGAAATATAATACGATAATTGCTGAGATATTTTTTTTGTATACGCAAATGGTCAAAGGATTATCACAAAAACAACACCACTGAACCCAGTGGCAATTCTAAACAGTCTAATTAGGTATTTGGAACCGGGATATTGTGAAAAGTTGACTCTATGAAATATGGACGTATTGGTTGCTTTGCACATGCAGCTAGATGAAGATATTTGGGACAGTTACAGGCTGAGTGTGAGGCTAAGAATCGAATTATGAGAAGGGAAACCAAAATTAGTAGCAGTCCCATTGTTACATCACACCGTTAAGCACAACATCATGCTTTCTTTTCAATGAGAAATACATCTATTTGGTGTACCTCATTTTATTAGTTCCTGGTTTGCATATAGGCCTATCTCTCACACATTGTACAACCCAATATTCTTACCAGATTTACTTCACACACTGCAAATGTCTCGTCTGGGTCACTGCAATTTTCTTTTACAACTTTCAGTACGGTTCCAAACGCTGTCAATGATACACATGAAAGTATGATATTACGCATTTGTTGGTTAATTGATGGATTACTTTCTTTTGCGCGTACATTCGATAAGTCTCTGCGTACATTGCCAGGCATTTATCATGATCGATGTATCATGATAATATAAATACCTACTCAACAAGAAAGACAAAAAGACAGAAAGACTCGTAATTTTAGGAGGTTTTAAGTAGGCCATCAGCTGAAACTCAAAAACCGGCTGTAAAATGAGTTTCGTTCCAGCAACACTGGGTCTACTTTTTTAATGCACATATGTGGGGTTCAGTACATCACAAACGCTATGTCAAAAGTTCTCCAGCAAATATGCTGCAGTTTTTTTTTTACACTTCATCAAAGTTTGCCAATGTTATGTACATGTATGTATGCTAAAAACCCACATTTCCGGTTTGAGACCTTGCGTTGGCACTTCCAATTTCAAAACTACGCACGTACAGCACTATAGCTTGTCACATCCTACACTCTAGAAACTCCTGGGTCAGACTCAGTCTGCTCAGTCCTTTTTCGGGTCAAAAATTGACCCCTTTTGGAGTCATAAATGACCACTTTGGAGTAAAAAAAAGACATGTTTCTCGGTCATTTTGACTGAAATGTGTATTTTTTTTTACCCAGAAAAGGACTGAGCAAATTTGGATTCAGATTCTGGGTCAATCTGACCCAGGAGATTTTAGAGTTAAAAAATATCTTTTATGTACATTGGCAATTGGGTCACACAGAACATGAACTTTTGTTTTCTCATCTGGTAGACATCACCACAGTCCCTCTTCCAAAAAATATTTCACTCTAATTTATTTGGCAGCATACAACAATGCAATTATTTTGAAGGTTTATAATGCAGTGATGGAACGAGCTCATCATTAATGAAAGACAGGGGGTGCCCAAAATGGAGGTGTCTTTAGAGTAAATAAATACCTGTACATGTAACCAGCAGAAGAAACAGGAAAGCAGACAAGACATGTCCCTTTAAACAAAGCAAACTAACGCATATAAAAAAAAAAAAAAAAAGGTGCTATGCCCCCCAAACCCTCTGGATCTGCTGTGGTGAACCAGGTACGTCACTTAAAGAACCTTCTACTTGTAAGAAAGACCACCTTTTTTGGAATGAAACAGGCTTTAAATACAATTATAAATCAAAGGACCATCAGATAGAAGTCAGAGTCTGGTTTAATAATTTCAAAAATCAACCATTGTACATTTATTTGCTATCTAATCAAAACAGCCATCTTGGTTTGGAGAAAAGCCTTAAGATCAGTCTTTTGTCAAAGAAAATTTCAGCTTTTTATTTATTGATACATTGATTAGCACCGAAAAATGTTTGCATGTATATCAATAAAAAGAAAACAAAACCATAACTCATGCTATTTTGTATGCTTACACATTAAAGAGAGTGATTTGGCTTGTCATATGTGGCTAGTCTCACTGTTAAAATTCACAGAATTTGCCTTTCTACTGAAACTAATTTTTAATAATTAAAAAGAATTAAAATGAATAAAACCAACACTAATGAACAGAAGGATACAATTATGTAGTTTTGAAAAATCTAGAGTTACTCATTATTTTCATTATAATGTCAAATGCTAACTAGTCGTGCTAATACAACTTCAAGTAAATGTTATCACTACATCAAAGTTCTCATCAAATCTTGTGCAGTAACGGCATAACAACAGGATGGAGCGTATGTCTTGCTTTCTAAAGCCAAAGTTTCAGTTTTGAATCCTCCTCTGAAGTCCCCAGAGATTCAACCACACATCCAGCAGATAAAGTAGCGGTGTAGATGATGTCGCATATATCAAGGAAAGAGACCTGTGGATATTCTCTTCTAAGCCGATATGTCAACTTATTAGTTCTGTAAAAAAATAAATAGTAAAATATACACAGGTTTAGTATCTGATGATCAAAAACAATGATTACTGTGGATGTGCTTTAGAAGAAAGAAAACAACCTGTTCAATCTAGAGTTAAATTATAGAAAGATCACGTGCCCGATCGTTTTGCCTTCCACTGTAAATATGTAAACATTGGTAGCTATTGAGAACCAACCTTTTCAGCTTCCAAAGCAATATCAAGAAGTTTTCATTTTGAAAATTCCATTAAAGTTTATTTCTGTTTGAACTCTGAATAACAATCAAAACATCTTACCGATATAAAGAGATCCAAGGCCAGTTCCTTCGGCTTCTAAATCATTTCAAGAATTCCAACAGTTCAGCAAGCTGGGACATTCTCATGAAACTAAGTTGTTGATCGGGGTTGAACAGTCAGTCGCAGAACATCTCCCTTTTCCTGACGTTCATCCCTTAGGCCTATATATATAGAATCAAATAGTAAATTCTATAAAAAGCTATTTTGCTATTTTATACAAAGGGAAAGACTACCCTCACACCTCCATAAAAGTATCCTTCAACAATGGAGAAGGAGACTGCACAACATTTTATAATGGGATTTTGTGCAGTACCCGTTGTCCTTTGGCATCTTAACGTTAGACATTTATTTTCAGTGCCAGAGGTACTCGGTTTGAATCATGGAACTAAAAAAAAACCCCTTTTTTACTGGGTTTTTCAAATAAGATCGATTTGTCATTGAAGACATTTTTCTTCATCGACTTAAGAGAATTGTTCTAAAAGGAAAGTAAAGTCCAAAAACCACTCGGTAAACAAGTGACGTACCCAACAGTCCAATGCCGTAGAGAAAGAAAAGGTGTTTTTTTATAACCAGGAATCTGTTATAATTTTGAATGGTATCTTTTGCAAGAAAAGAAATTTTTCCTATGCATTTTCAGTTAACGCCATCCAAATCGATGCGGTTCTGTGCATTCACGGTGCATCGTGGTGACCACCAGCTTTGTTTTCGCATTGTGTTTTTATCGTTGTGTCACCCCAGTTTCCCTCAAAGAAATTAAAACCTAACCTTACCCTCAATTCAAGACAATTAAACCCAAACATGGATTTTTTGGTTCTTTTTTGGGGCACATAAATACACAATCGCCTTCATTATAATGACATGTAGGCCTACCTCCAACGGAAGTTCTGCTTGTTGTACTGTTGCAGCTTGTCCTTGAATTGAGGTTTTCATCGAAATCAAAATCCTGGTTGAGTTTGTGTGCAGCATGACACAGTTATGTAGATAGACAATTAAAAGAAACTTGAACTTTGTCCGGAGCTTTTTCGGTGAAGAAATCTGGGTCTCAGCTGAAGTGTATGGTTTACCTTTTCTTGCAGCACCGAGACGTTTACTATCTATAAAAACCGCCACGGGTGAGATCGGCCGGTAGTGCATGATGTACCGGTAGTGCATGATGTACTGTACAGTACGATACAGACATAGCAGATCCACTGCCCACACATCGTGGGTATATTCGGCGGTGTCATTGTGAAATTCAGCCACTCTTTGGCACAGGAAATGAACTTACTATCACCGGACATCAGATCCTTCGCATTTTCCCCCTCAAACGTGACAGATTATGAGTGCAAACACTTCTTTTTTGCACCGGTCGATGTTTACGTTGACGCACATTTGCCAATGGACGCCGCCATGTTTGTTAAATGTCTTGACCTGCGACCTCATATCTGGTGTCTAATTGGACAGTTCACGTCACGTGGTACGATGCGTCATACGCGGCGGATTTTTTTAACGTACGCGCGGTACGTTTTTGAACGTCCACAATGGACAAATAGTTCGCTTTTTCGAGTCAAATTATCAAAAAACTGCTGGACGAAATGTGGAGAACTTTTGTAGTATCATTCTTTGGTAGTGTATTTCGGTACAACTGTTAAATTTTTTTAGACCCGCGATTGCTGGAACGAAACGAACGAATTTTCCAGTCCAGCTGACGGCCTAAAGGTGATTTGCAGCCAAAAGACGACCAAACTAGATGTATTTATGTTCCATGAACAGAACATAAAACCATTCTTGAGCCTATGAGCAGTAAAATATTAATTTCATGTATCAACAAAGCTCCATTACTTCTTAGCTGTTTTCTACATGTCATTCTTCAGAACGCAGGCTCTGCGGTGTCTTTACCTAGGTTAAGTATGCACAAAGTATATTTTAAGAAAAAAACAATGTTTTTTTTTTCCCAACTATGCAGAAAAGCAAACCAATTTTGGTTCCTGATGACAGAATATCAATGTTAAATGGTTAGGGGTGGATAGTCGATATCAGCTCCTCGAGGTATTTGCAAGTTAACAAAGTATTCGCCTTGAGAACAAGTTTGTTAACTTCCTATACCGAGGGGAGATAATATCGACTATCCTAAGTAAACGACGTTATATTTGATTCCCTGTACCTGATACATAATTAGTTGCCGAATTTTCCCGTAGCAGTACTCATCTCGGCGTAATTTATAATCTACATATATTTAGCATTATGGCAACTTTCTTTTACACTTTACTGGAACAAAAGGTTTATAACTTCATCACCACTTACTTGTACCGAAGTAGTAAACACAGTCGTAGTCAAAATCGACAGCCAGGCTGGTGAAAAGAACATCGTCCAACTGCAGAATGGGTGGATCTGATTCAGGAAAATTTAGTGGCGGTGCTCTTTGAGTTCCTCCAGTTTGTTCATTTACATTGTAGCTGGGCACCGACTTATGTAGTAGGGGAGGATAGTCAGTGGTGTGTTTTTCATGACACTGGCAGGGCAAAAACATAACAAACGAAATACAGACATCGACAAATGAATCTAATTAGGTTGCAAATATAAAATGCTTAAAGGAAAAGTTGAATAAACTATTTTAAAACTTTTGGTTCATAGATAACAATAGCATAATACAGGGTCAAAAAAATGTACCTTTGGATATTCCTTGTCTCCTACAAAACAGGAAAAGTTACAATTTTTCTCTTCAGACTTTGGCGCTCCTTGTTCAGGTTCTTTATTGCACCATCATAGAACATTAAATACTCCCTTAAAATACAATGAAACATTGTTTTTTGGGGGTAGTCACAAGGAAAAGCCTGTATCCTTTGCATGCATGGTTGCATATTAGTGAAATTTGTACCTAATGTGGTCAATACCAGATCGAATGCTGGCTGAAGAGAGAAATTTGTTATACCCTTCCCGTTCCTGTTGGAGACAAGGAATTATCAAAAGGGACCTTTTTTACTCAACCTGTAAAGGCACAACCTCGTTCCGATGGCGTTTTTGCATTACTGCAAACAAACAATGGAAGAAGAGAGTTGTTTCCGACGGGAATTTCCGGGCATAGACCTAGTACTTACACATAACGGCAACAAATGTAATGCACGTTCAAAATTGAATGCTCAAAGTACACGATAACATATCAATAGCTTGCCACACCAACCGATTAGAGTAAACAAAACCGGTTGTCATCCCAAATTCTTGTGTTGAGACAAAGCTTGATGTGCAATAGAGAATGGAAACGAGAACAATTTAGACATCTTCATTGGTTAACTAGCTTAAGCAACATTGAATAAATAAAGCCTCTTTTGTTTAAGGTCAAAACATGCAGTATGAATAGGCGTGCAAATTTCGTTCAATTTTATTCCATTCACCTTTGAGTGTCACATTATCATTGATGTGCAATCTGTGCTCAGTGTCAATCCAAATTTAAAAAAACCGTGATACAGGCTATAGGTTAATCAGATTAAGGAAAGATCACGTTCACTGCTTTCGTGCAGTAGAGTGTACGAAATAGATTTAGTCAATGTAAAGGGCAAAGGCTAAATTGCGTATAGCCGCAAGTGCTGTCATTTCTGTGTTACTCGATGAACCATTGATAATTTGGAGACATCCATACCGTCCCAGGCCTTGGGTTCAGTGGCCACGTCATTTCATTCCATAGAGCTTCGACATTACCATGGTGCTGTTCCTGGAAATTACCCTCATCAAACAGACGCATGATATCTTGCATCCTGTAACTGCAAAGAGCTGACGTCGGAGGTCCATTTCTGAATTCAAGGGATAACAGCCATTACATCATGACATCCATGTCCAACAAGACGTAGGGAAATTATTGGGGGGGGGTGCGGTGAAGGACACGGAACCCCAGTACAAAGCCTGTGTCCCTCAGCCTGTGGACCACACTCAGAATATGAGCTTGTGTTTGGTATTAAATTAGTAAAGGATTGGGGTAGCTTGTGCAAATAAAATTTCACATCGCAGTGACAGATGTTTATATATACCCGTCCCTTTAGCATATGTCAAATACGCAAACCGATAAGAATATAAAAATGCAACTACAAATGCCTATTAACATAATGGTTATCTGACAGAAACCTAGTCTTTCGTTTCAACTCGTATTTCGTTCTCTTGAGCAAACTTGCATTAAAAGGAACTTTTTACTCACTCTTGCAAGGTGAAAATCGCGTATGCTGTAAGATTTCTTTCGTCCCAAACCACATCCTCTGTAAACAATATATAAAAAGACCAAGATATCATTGAAATCATACGGCCAACTTGGTAATAAAGCTTTGTTCAGCTTAAAACAAGTCTAACGCAATTTCACTGTAAAAGTTTAGCTGAAAAAAATATTTTGGTGAAAAAGCCGCTGTAATAGATAATCACCTCAATGTGTATACATAATTCGTCACCGACACCACGAAGTGACCTTAACCCCCGCGAAGTGGAAAATGTGTGTTTCGAGATACAAGCGATTTAAGTTGGTGATGTTTTGAAACGGTGATCTGAACATCGTATTAGCCTCAAAATTCTTATTTTTTTACATTGTCTGAAAGCTGCGATTTTGAATGTCACGTTTATGTATGATTTTTATTGAAAACAAATAATATTAATGAGTTATCAACTAATTAACCTGAAGGTCACTTCGTAAAAACTCTAAAATCAGAATACGCGCTGTTCGAGTTTTCACGAAGTGACGCTAACCACGTGTATTAGCTAATGGGTTAGCGCTACTTCGTGATGACGCCAGAAGCGAGTCGCGCGTATCACGTGACATTTGTGTTACTTCGTGAAAACGCAAAACCCGTTTTTGACGCGTAGTGTGCAGGCAGTTTACATGCAAAAGAATTTTCCGGTTTTGACCTATTAAGTTGCAAACGTTCATTAATATTAATTAATGTTTTGACAAAACCAATTAACTATGTGTTTAGTAACTTCATGAGGTGATAGATTACGTGTAATTAATCACAAATCAGGAAAAAAATCGAAATCATAAAATATTGATTTTTTGATGTTAGTGTCACTTCGTGGTGACGGTGACGATATTGTTCTCCTATTATCCAACTGAAAATAAAAGCGTTCAAAAAAGACTTTGTTTGCTGAGATTAAATCCACCTACGTAGAAAATTGTATTCAAATGCCGGCTCATCGCCATTTGGTACTGAGCATTCCAAACGAGCCTTGATGAAGGTGACGAACTTCTTTGTGTTGACAGTGCCTCCTGTATCATTCTGAAAAGATGTTGACACAAATGGATGACACAAGTATAAATACATGTATCGGCTGAAAGAAGACATCTATATAACTCACTACAGGTGTGTTACAGTAGTTCCATATACTTGACTAAAGAACAACTTTTGAAAGAAATAAAACAGCCTGTAGACAGGTTTAAGTTTTTAAAACTTTTTTTATATTTTCTTTGCAGATCAAATTACAATCATCAATGAGTTCTATTAATTCATTCACTGTGTCCGAGTTGCTTCTGCAGCCGCAATATAATTCTACAAAATGTTTTTGGCAGGAGTAATAACACCATTTTATTCCAAAAACGTCAATCGTTAATCTACCATAACTTAGGTTGGTCTTCCCGTGCTGTTTTCGAGATTCATCTCGAATAATACATTTTGTGGTGTGGTTTTTTTGGGTTGCAATAAACGTTTTTGATTGGCGCGTAAGATATGGAACGAAAAGAAAATCTCCGCCCAAAATTAAGTTAATGTAATAATCACTCTACAACAATATATTTTATTTTCTGCAGAACAAAATTATGTTTGGATCCTTTCGTGCATTGAAGGCGATAAAGCAACCACATCAACCTTCTTATTTTAATTCACAGGCATGCAGACGCCCCTGATATTAAGAAAAAGTTTTCTAAATAAAAATGTACTCGTTTGAAAAAATGTAACATTTTGTCAAAGAGCACAGAGAGAACAAAATATATTAGATGAGTAAATAAACGAACGGTACACTCTCAAAAGTCCTGGGCCAGGTCGACCCAGAATCCGGATTCTATTTGGCCTGACACTTGTCAGGGTCAAAATGACACTTTGATTATTCGGACCCAACTAAGGTGGTAAGTTTGACCCCGAAAGATGCAGGTAAAAATGGAACCCGGATTTTGGG